ACAACCGTAGGCATTAACCCTGCGTGTACTACGCTTCCAAAACCAACAAGTCTTAATAGCATTTGTAATAATGCTGTAATTATCTGTAAATAGTGCTGTACTGAATAGTCATGACTAGTAGTTTAAAATGCTGCGTACACCAATGGGGTTCTTTAATATTCACAAGTGCACCATAACCACATCTCCTCTCACTTTTTATACATTGTGGCCATGACCCTAAAAAATAGGCGATGCTTCATTTATTGCTCACGTCTCTGCATACTGCTGCTAATCCTAGCGACTGTGTATTTTGTACTTGTATTTGGAAATCTCAGTGACCTTGGTCACACCAGGCTGAAGAAACCTGTCTTGCAAGCATGTGCCCAGGTGATTAATTTCAACAAACAGGTTGCTTATAACAGTGTAATTACTCACTTGTGCAAATGGCAGGATGGGTGCACTGACCTGTATTAGACACATTGTAGTCTACACCTCTCCATGGGTTCTTTTTCATCATTAATCAGAGGACCGAAAACCTTGCAACATTTAGACAGCTTGAGGTTGAAGGCTGAAATGTCACTTTTAAAAGAGGGTTAAAAAGGTCACGCAGCTGCAAATAATAATAGCCCAATGAAAATCAGATTCTTACTGCAGCCCACTTCAAGAATAACATTGAAACAGGAAACAAGCCTGCTTGATGTTTTTACCAGTAAGGCAATAAGATTACTGCTGAGTTTAAAAAGCAGGAGAGACAGAAAGGAGCATGCTTTCTTGGTGTTAGTGGTTAGAACTATTTTTCTGATTCAGAAAGGATGATTGTGGGGCTCTACAAAATCTCCTTGAGGAGCCTGAGGACATGGGGTACTTCGCTCTGGATGCTGCTGAGAGGGGATGTAGTTTGTTGCTGTGTTCGCAGGGTGATTTTGTTTCTTTTGTTTGCTTTTTATTTCTTTGTTATGTTCTTGCATTCCTCACTGTGGGCTTCAGTTTTATTAATTATAATAAAAAATGTTTAGAAGTATGTTATGCAGAAATCAAGGAATAGAAGAAAATCTCAGCTTGCTGCAGAACTTACTTGTTTCTCTTCCTGTGATGTGGCTTGGAGAAGTCTTTCTATGTTTCTTCTACATTTTTGTTTATTTATATTTCTAATTAGAATACCTTAACTTCTCCTAAGCAGAGTGATATTTCAGGAGAATGGCAGGCTACAACAGTGCAGCAGATTTCCTCACTTATGTATTCTGCCAATAAGGCTCTTTACGTGGTCACAATAGGACAATAAATGCTGACAGATGTTGTTAACATGTCTATTAAAATTTAGCCCCTTTTTCTGCTGCATAATGCACTCCTGCCTATTGTTAATAATATCAGAACAAATGCTGACATAGCAATATTAGTGCTCACTTATATTTATAATCCTTGTTTGTTTCTTTGAAGAGGTCACAAAGTTGCAATAAATTAAGCTATTGATAACAGAAGTAAAAAATTCAGACCTGAGCAATTTTTTAACTTTTCAGTCATCACAGATTTGCCAGATATTCTTCATGCACATTAATTGTGACAGTCATATGTAGTACTATGAAAGGTGCATGGGTGTAACTCGAATTTTTAAGATCCCAAAGGTTAATAAGCACCTTAATTTAAATGGAAAGGTTTCTGTGATTTATTTTTATTAGATGAAGTCAAAATGTTGCCATTGATTGCGTGATTTCCTTCATGTGTTCTGAACCACCTGCACACACTGTGGAAAAAGGAGACTTGAGTTGGGTGGCCCAGCAACAGACATTTGAGTAGTGTGGAGTGAACTGTGTGCCAGGGGCTGTGTATGACTGAGGGATGGGAGATGCAGGCCTGCATCTTGAAAAGCATGCCGTGCAAACTGTGCTGTGCACAACCAAAAAACCTCTGTTGCTGAGAGCTCCCATCCTGCTGCAAACCATGGTTGAGCTCCTGCATTTCTTGTGTATCTGCAGCTCTTGGGGAGTTCA